CAGGAAAATCCTCCTCCAGAGCTCACTTTTGCTATTTTATTAATACGAAGAGAAGAGGGGAAAGGATTTGAAAAGTTATCTCTAGAGGGGGAAAAATGAAAATTATCAGTAATGACGTTTCTTGCCTCCCCATCTCCAGACAAAGATGACTGCATTTCACTGGGACTCATGTCGTGGATAATTATTGGCCTGATCATGTTTACCATGATTTCCTGTGTCTGCTGTGTCGTAGCCTGTTGCTTAAGGAACAAGGTAAGCAAGTCTATGAGATTCTGTGAAACCCTCTTTCCAAGGGTCATGGATGGGGATCTTGATTTAATGAGATTTAGAGGGTGGGACAGGCACATACTCACTCAGCACGTGATGTGTTTTTTGACAAAGAGACTGAGTTGTTAATTTACCACTGGAATTCAGTCATTGATGACAGCAGCTCAGATTTAATTTTTCTAAGACAGAATTGTTTATTGATTTAAAGGCTGGGAATCAAAGGAAAGAGGAGAAATGCTGCACAGGTCAGCAAAATTACTTTGGTAAGCAATTCACTTGATTGTTTTCTTCAGGAAGGGGAAACAAATCATCAGTGGAGCAATTCCAGCTCTGTTCTGGCACAAAACCACTTAAACAAAAAGAACCAGTTGGCTCAGGAAAGAAAGGAGACCGTGGACTTTGCTTATTCTTTTGGACAATGTGTGATTTTCATTTTCAGTTCGTTTTATTCCAAGTTTTCTACGTGGGTGCCTATCTATTCTGACTTTAATATTCCCACTGAAAACAGTCAGAGTAACTGCCCTACTTAAATAACAAAAGCAGGAGTGGCAGAGGTTAGTGACCACGGATGAAATTAACAGCATTTTCTCTCTGTTTGCAGAATCAGCAATGTGAATCCAACTCCCACGAGTACAACAGTGAATACATGCCCATGGCAGCAGTGAATGCAGCTAAAAAACCAAGAATCTGAGGTTGTATTAAGCCAAGTTGTACCTCTGCTTGTATCTGTTGCAAGACTTTCTCTGGGAGGGAAAGGGTTGCTTGCTGTATCTCCCATTGATTATACGTGAATGGGACTGTTGCAATAGCTTGTTAATGGAGTTCATGCTACCATGTAGCAGGAAGAGGAAATTAAAAGCAAAATCTCTGGAAACCTTTTGAATCTGGATGGTGGGTGGTTTCCTAGAAATGCAACTGCTTCACTCCAGTGCAAAGTAATAATCTTATGCATGAGGAAGAGACATGAAACTGTTCCATTCAGATCTTTCAGATGATGCGTAGTACCCAAAATTTCTCTGGGGAAGTGATTTGCTAGATTTACTGAGTTACTGGCTAAGGACAAATAATCTGTAGAGAATTAGGAACTTCCTAACTACTTAAGCCCTTTCATAGTAGCCAGAAACAGTTCTGGGTATAGAACAGAAGCAGAATTTGGACTGATTCAGACGTATGGGGATTGCATGTAACTAATTCTCCATTCCTATTCCAGGTATAAGTTGCTTGTGGCATGGAAATTCTGGCAGCAGAGGTTTCCAGCTACTTGAACCTGGACAATGGGAAATCAGCATTTCCTCACCTTTCCCAGCCTCCCTGTGCTCAGTCATGAGACACCCGCTCTAGTACTGTTCTGAGCTATGTTTTGCTCTAGCCTTGTGTGTCAACTGGCACACTGTCTGATCCACTGACTTGTACATGAAGTGCTAACAATGTGTTAAAGATGTCAGCTTTTAGTTGAAGAAAATGTAGTGAGTTTGCTTGAGACTAGATTCCTGTAGTGCTACTACAGAGGGAACATTTATTTTCTACTGTCTCCATTATGACAAACTTTCCACTGGGGACAAAAAAAAAGACTACCTCCAATGCCAATCCTTGTGGCACAGCCATGAAGCACTGTGGATGTATTGCACATGCCCTTTTGTTAGGGCTAGTTTAGCCTGATGCTATCAATTCATCCTCACATTCACTGTCAAAACTTCTTAGCACCACACTAGGAGAGTGCAGTATGCACACATGCTCTGCTGCACCAAGCTATGGGGCAGCAGGGGAACAAAACCTGAGTGAGCACAGCAGGGACTTCACTGTGACTCAGTACCTCAGGTGCGCGCATCTGCAGTTTTTGTATTTGTGCTATCAATACATCTTTGCCATTCACACCTTGGGGCTCCTCTTATTTAATTAAGGTCTGGATTCTTTTACTAACAGAGGAATATATTACAACAGGAATATATTGCAAGACTGCAGTTGTTCTTTAAATCAGTTCAAACCTGCAGATCAGTCCCTAAACCAGGAGGCACAATCTCTTCTATTCACGTGTCTTGCAGCACAAATGCAACACAGTCCATAAGGCCAGTGTATTCACGGACTCTGCGTTGCAATCATCTTCCTCTTGTGGTTTGACATGAAACATTTACTACTTCCCCAGTGGGTTCAGGGGTTACTTGACCTGCCTGAAATTGCTCAGACCCTTCAGTATGAACAAAATGATCAATACTTCATGCTCTGTGTAAAATCCATCAAAACTTTGACCATAAATGACCAGCTGGGAATCCAGCCTGGATATGTTGCCAAACACTATTTGGCTGCTGGAAGCAGAGCAGTGCATTGATTTGAGTCTTTGTAATTCATCGAAAAAAGCAAGTATTGGTCAGAGGACACTACTGTGAAAGATACACAGCCTTTTTGTCTGGCAAACAGAAGGCTGGTTTCAAATTTGATAGGGCAAACAGGAACTGGCAGGCATGAAGAGGACATGAACTGGTATGTCAAGAACAGGGTTTTCCTCAACAAATTTCTAAATACATAGAAGTGTTGCAGAGAGGAGGTGCAAATTATTAACTATAACATTAAGCAAAGGGAAAATGAGTAAAGCATCAAATGAAGTGAGGACTACCAATTTCACAGTGGGTACCCTGCTTAGATAACCAGCAGAGATGTAGAGGGGCATCGCGCTGTGTTGGGTAACATTACGTTCTCTGCCATCGTTTTGCCATGTAAACTTTGCCAAATTACTTGACCTCCCCAGCAAACAAAACTCTCCTCTGTACATCCACAAATACACTGATTTCACAATTTAAACAAATATTGACGAAATTATTGCCTTTCAAAATTATTGCCTTTGAAAATTATTGTCTTGGAAAATTATTGGTGAAAATAGCTAACCTCTACTGCCTGTGACAAATGTTGGATTCAAGATCCTAAGTAACAGTGCAGAGTCTTATCCCCTGGAACCTTTCACCAGAACTGAGAAGGAAATTCAAGGAATAAAGAGTTTCTGGAAGAAGGAAAAACTTGAGGTTTGCCTTGAGGTGCTGCTGGACAAAGAATGAAAGTCTGAACAAGGTGGTTCAAAATGCATTCTACTCTGGAGAGATAAATGATTTATATTCATTATAACAAAGTTGTTGGAAGTCTTAGGTTCCATCACTGCTTTCTTTTTGGAAAAAGATATTTTTATTCTTAATAAAACATTTTTTTTATTATGCCATATGTGTCCATAAGGAAATTCATGCATGCATGCGTGTTGTGTGAAAGAAATAAGCTCTATAAAATCCACAGTGCATTGGGAGAGAGTATGGGGCAGTTTATCCCTATATAGCATCTTAGTTGGAAACAGGAAAAGGACTAAGGAAAAAAAATATTCAAAAAGTGAAAACTAAATATTTGAATCTGTTTCTATGCAGTGGGTAATGACATTGTTTGGATCTGTTTGTTTCCTCTCATTTTCATGAGAAAGTCTTTCTTTTTTTATATTGTCCCATCTCTTCTTCCTTTCTTTTAATCTCTTATGCAGTATACAGTTAATGTTCAAGATTGTTTTGGGACATTTTTCAGTTTCTTTCTGCAATTCTTCAATATCTCCAAATCAAAAGGACCTGGAGGAAGATAAAGGATGGCAGAATCAGAAAAAAAAAAAAACTATGAAAAAAGTAGCATGAGCTGAGTCTATAGACTGTGTGACAAGAAAGGATTAAAATAAAAGAAAACAAAAAAGGAGTCAATAAGAATAAACAAAAAAAAGCCTGATATTCTAACAGGTCAACATTTCAAAAAGTAAAATCTCTCCTCAGAAACTCCCAGATTTGGAAAAAGACCATTTTAGAAGGGAAAAAAATCAATTAAGAATATTTCAGCCAACTCTTCTACAAAATCCACTTTTGAGTCAAGAAGCATCATGAGTAACGTCCAAAAAACGTCCAGGAAATCAGAGGTTTAAGGGTAAAATAAGTTACTAAGACACAATCTCAACCTATATTTTCTCTGTTTGATACATAATGGTTTAGGATTGTAACAGAAATTTTACAAGTCTACAATAGTCCACGAGGGCGGGTTCTACAACCTATCCCTCCCCATCTTTGTCTTCTATTGCTTTATGGGGAATACGACTGAAAAAGTTTTTTGGGTAGGGCTTTTCCAGGAGCTGAATCCCTAACAATAGCGTTCGTGTAAGACTAGTTTCTCTCATACAACATGTAACATATGATTCAGTATCAGTAAGACGCTTTTATCCTTTCTCAGTTATCATTGCTATAAGTCACTGCACATATATTCACACTCGGTACTGCCCTTAAGATCTTTCCAGTCCGTGCCAGTACGGAGTGTATGAAGTCAGTAAGTCAGTAAACCAAGCAGGTATGTATGGCAAAGAACTACTCATAATCTCCTTGAATGTTAAGACCTGAAATAAAAATTTACAACTTGAGCAAACTTAATCTTGCTAAGCAGATAGCGTGATCTGATGTGAACAGGTGTTAAGGATGACAACTACTGCTACTCCAAAATTTAAGGAAGTATAAATGACAAGAATATCATAATTTGAACACCTGCATATCTTGAGATGGTTTGAAATCCAAACCTCGATACGTATTTTGCAAGCTTATCTTCCCAACCTGAATTATGAACCCAAATCTGAATGCTCTTGGAGTTTAATGATTAGATTCCGGATTGCAATTTCATACCTAATATATAGAACTGGGAATGAAATGACACTACGAAACGCTGTGGGCCATTTTCCCTTAGTACAGATATTTTGTTAACTTCAAAGTACAAGAACTTTTAAATTCTATCATACTTCTTACAGACTTCTACAAAGTCCACTTAAGGCTGGTGAAAAGAGGCTCTTGAACAAGAGTAAAGCAAACAAATGAATCAAAATTAGTATCTGTGCTGAAGAGATCATACACCATTATTCATAAAGTGTTTTACAATGTGGAGAGTCCCTTACGGTGAATCTATAAGGTGCCATGCAGAAGAACACAGCAATAATAAAAAGAGAAAAAATACAGGTAATTGAAAGTATTTAGTTAAAAATAAATCCAATTGGTTCATGGGGACTTCTGCCCATACAAGGTTTACTGGGGAGCTGGATCTAAGTCTTTGCCTTTGGTTTGACTTTAACTGCAATGAGACACTCCATATACCCAAGTGCCTTGAGTTGTCCAGTCCATGATTCTATAGCAGTCTACCCACTACCATAACAATTTCCCACTTCTTTGAGAGCTGAAATTTTGAGATTTGTATTTATGTTCTATGATTATGAGTTCAATTCAGTGGCGGGGGGAAGGGTTGGCTGGAGAAGAAGGAGGAACAGGAAGGATTAAACAGCTTTGCTGGCAAAATGGACTGGACAGGTATGAACTGGAGATATGAAGAAGAGGTCAAGGGGTGAACTTCATCTAAATGAGTATGCCTGAGCTATTTAATTCCTCCTGGGAGTCATAAGATCTCGTATGGCTTGAAATCAATTTTTAAAAAGAGATAAATCAGCTCTGATCATCAACAAGAAAGATTTAGCTGCTGTACACATCAAGCATAATCATTTTTAAAAACTGCAAACATTAACAACTTTGAAATACCTAACTTCTTCCACATATTAAATCCTGCATCAGTCCTCCCAGTTTCTAGTACACTGTTGGCAAACCCATCACCAATGATATTTCACCCTCTATCCCGACGCATTGCAGGAGCGAGTTT